GGGACTCGATCCTGGGACTCCAGGATCATGACCTGAGCTGAAGGCAGTCACTTAACCAACTGAGCCACCCAGGCGCCCTAGACTCCATCACTTTTAATGCATCCACCATCCCCCGGTAGGTGGACGGATCCTGATTTCTCAGCCACTCTCCCATTTTTGCCCTCACTCAGATAAGCCTCGTAGCAGATATGCCGTCAACAACACTGGAGACCATGCAGACGACCAGGATGGTGATTCCAGGTAAGGGCTTTGCAGTCACGCTGCGATGGGGCTAGTCCTGCCCCCAGGCCTGTTGACCCAGAGGTTTTCTCCCGTGAGAAACCTGGTGTCCTTTTTTTCCATTTGGTGGGTGTTTCAGGTTTTGCAGAGCTGGGAATTGTGTTGCCAATGCCTGACTTGCTGCATAGTGTGGTCGCATGTTCCAGCTATGGAACTGGTTGGCTGGTAAAACAGACTGGAGAACAGACGAGGCCGGAGAGAACGTTTGTCTTCTGTGAGAGGAACGGGGGGGAAAGCAGACCCCGGTGCTGTCCTCAGACCCGACTCCTCAGGCATGTGCCCAGAGGTCACATGGAGGGGCCTGGGTGCAGCGCAGCCTGTTCAGGTGGTGCTGTGGGCTGAGAGCCAGGGCTGATGTGACCCTTGCTCTTTTAGGGCATAGATGAAAGGCAGGTCTTGTTCCTTCCTGTGTATGCTCCCCCTGCTTTTTCTGGGACGTGCTATCAGGGTGGCAAACATCACACATGACTACTTCTGCCTTATGTTTTTTTAAAGCTTAGTAAATGGTAACACAAGCCCAGTTGAAGGAGGAAGGATTGTAAACTGCCTGTCCTGGGTGCCTCTAAACACAGCTGGGGCCTGGGTGAGGTAAAGGACTCAGCCTCCACCGTCCCGTGGCCGCAGAGCTGAGGCTCCCACCTGGGCCTTTGCCATGGAGTGAACTTCGCATGGAGTGCCATGGAGTACAGCCTCCCTCAGTTCTCTTGACAAGGCACCATACCTGCCATGGTATTATGCAGTTCCATGAGTGTGGTTTTTATCCTTTCTTGTGAGGATATCGGGGCCTCTGGCATGACCAGTGACTGTCTCTGAGGGCAGCAAGCTTTGAAGGAGAGACCAGCAGGGCGGCGGGGTAGGAGGTGTGGGGGACTGTTGGACATCCATGGGTTGTTCTGCTTGATGTAGAAGCTGTGGTCACCTTGTCCTCTGAGGTCGGCCACTTGGAGCAAACTCTTGTTTGTTCCAGGTGCATAGAAAGCTTTTTGCCCCTGCCCATGGGGTGGGTGCATTTTGTCCTCCACCTGTGGCATAGATTCCTTTAGAGCAGGGCTGGCCCCCTGCCTGCCGTTCTCCGGGCTCCACAGATGGGAGGCTCAGGCTGCTGAAAATGCAGAAAGTGCTCTTGGAACAGTCTATGTGGGTTTCCTAGGAGGCTGGCAGCACCTGACTCCTGCAGTTAACTCTCAGAGGCTTATAATAAAAGACTAAGAGAATGTTTTTAGGGAGTTATTTCAATATTTAGCGTAAAGAAGAGGAAAAACCATGGGAAGGGAGCAAGACATTATGGGTCTATCAGGGTATCACAGATACGCTCTTCACTAAGAAGAGCTGGTTCTCCATACTCTCTTTTTCATTAAATTTAAGAATTACTTCCTGTGGTAATTGTGGCACATTATAGCATCTGATGATCCCACTCCCCACCTGCCCCTGTGTCAGAGATACAGGTTAATACCTCTGAGTGCCCAGCTGTATTTCGTCACATTGGCCTGCCAAGCCTCTGGCGCCTGGGGGAGCCATGCCATGGCTCAGACATCTTCTTGGGGTAGTACAGGGTTGTCCTCGATGGTCCTCTCAAAGGTGCTTTTCTTTGGGAACCAGCAGAATGTTCTTGCTCGTTGTCTTGGCAGACTGAAGCCATGTTAACAGGCCAGTTGTGCAACTTCTGAGTGTGGTGGTAGATGGACGCTGCCCTAGAGAAGTGAGGATGCAGGGCTGTGCTGCCCGGTATTAAAGTCACCATTTAAATAGAAATGACCTTAGATGAAATTCAGTTCCTCCTTGCACCAGCTGCATTTCAGGTGCTCGGGCCGCAGGTGACTGGTGGCTGCCGCACTGAACGGCTCAGATTTGCAGTAGGAGGTTCTGTTGGACAACACTGTCTCAGAGCGTGTGCTGCTTCTAAAGGTGAATCAAGATGTTATGCTTCAGGGTATAAGAATTAACTGGCAGGGTTTTTTTAACCCTTTTATTAAAAAAAGCCTCTTATAGAATTCAGTAGGAAGGGAAGAAAATGGATATTGTTCATTGTCTTTAAGGCTTGAAGTTCAAATGTAGAAAAGCTGTAGTGCTCCTGTTGGATGAGTGCTGGGGACCAGGGAGCTCATGCTCTTTTTTTTTTTTTTTTAAGATTTTATTTATTTGTTTGACACAGAGAGAGAGCGCAAGCAGGGGAAGCGACAGAGGGAGAGGGAGAAGCAGGCTTCCCGCTGAGCAGGGAGCCCGAGGTGGGACTCGATCCCAGGACCCTGGGATCATGACCTGAGCCGAAGGCAGACGCTTCACTGACTGAGCCACCCAGGTGCCCCTGGGGAGGTCATGCTTAATAGCATTATGCATCTGCCACACCAGCAGGGGAAAAACCGTCAGGAGAGGTCCTGGAGAAAGCCTGGTATCAGTCACAAACGCTGTCGCTGGCACTATCCCTCCCAACGTGGAGTGTTTTGGGCACAATCTCAGAGAAGAAGATGGTAGCTTGAAGAAGAGTCGACTTCATTTCAAAACAGTCAGAAATCGTTTTACTCTAGATACCATCCAGAAGACCTTGGAAGTGTGAAAGATTTCTGTCCACACCTTTAAATTCTCAGCATTGTTAAATTCCCTGTGGGGCAGTGGAATCAGATGGCACTCCTGCCTTCCTCAGGCTTGACCACCTTTCTCTAAGCAGTGGATTCAGCTTTGGGGCACATTCACAACCTCAGCCAGATGGGAACCTCGGCTAGGTGTGCCAGGGTGCAAACTGGCACATAGCTAGTCCTCTCCCCCAGGTGCACGGGGCTCCACCAGGCCTCTCTTGACAGCTTTGCTTCTGCTAGCATGTGTGTGGCCATGTGTTAGAAAGGTGGCTTGGTGAAGCGTCTGCCTTCGGCTCAGGTCATGATCCCAGGGTCCTGGGAGCGAGCCCCATGTCGGGCTCCCTGATCAGCGGGGTGTCTGCTTCTCCCTCTCCCTCTGCTGCTCCCCCTGCTTGTGCTCTCTCTCTCTTTCTTTCAAATAAATAGTCAAGGAAGGAAGGAAGGAAGGAAAGAAGGAAGGAAGGAAAGGGGAAGGAAGGAAGGAGCCCCTATTTCCTAGAGCTGGGGTTAGTGCCCAGAAGGTGGATAAGCAGTGCTGTCCCCAAGCTTGGGCATCCCCCACCCCTTTCCTGGCCCAGCCAGTAAGTACACTGGTGCGTCCGCTCTGGTGCATGCAGGCTGACAGTGTGCTGGGACAAGTACAGGGTTGGATTTTGGGTGTGACTCTCATTTTTGCACCTACAGTGTATAGTCTTGGGCATGTTCCTCGTACCATGAGCCTCAGTTTGGGTGTCTTAAGATGCCTGAGGGTGGCAAGGCACCTCTGCCTCCCCTCCCAGGTCTGGTATCATGGGAACATCTGTGTCTTGGTGAGAGTGCTTGCTGGGGGCTCTGCCTCCCACACAGGGGCAGACACAAGTTCATGACACATGCCAGGGGCGTTTGACGCGTCACCTCCACAGCCTGGTATGGAAAAGAGCACTGCTGATACTCGGAAGCCCCACACGCTTCTTCCCTTTGGAAAGTAGAGGGGTTTCGTTGTGACCTGTTGGTTGTAGGAGATAAAAGTTGGAGGAGTTGCACTTGAGCCTCTAGGGATTCTGACTTTCTGGGTGATCTTGGGAAGATCCACAGAACACCTTCCCCCTTTCATACTGTGGACACTGATGAGCTGACGTTCGGGAGCTGTTGAAAAAGGGGCTCTTGGCTGTGTGCTTCTGTCCTGTGGGTCTGTGGTATATATTTCTCGGTGAGAGCTGTGGGGAGCAGCAGGGCAGCCCGGTGGTCATGGCACGGGGTCGTGATAGGCTCTCGTCCCTCCAGTGCTGTCCCCCTCTGGGGTCTGGCCTGCTCTCTGTTTCCTGGATTCCGGGGACTGTCCCAGAACACTCTGCAGAGTAGCTTGACTCTTCTAAACATACTCTCTGCAGAACTCAAGTTGCACAGTGCGCGGGTGTGGCATAGCATGTGCATGGGTGCCACAGCCTCCTTGCTGCCAGAGGGCCCGTGGTCGTGCTGAGCAAAGGCTCGGCGAGTTGGGGTGTGCAGGCAATCACAGTACCTCAAGGGTTGAAGCTCCGTACGGGGATCTCACGGGATCTCACAGAGACGGTTTCGTCAGAAAGACTAAAATGCTTGTGCATGGGTGTCCAGCTAATATGTGTGGTGCTGGGCTCTGACCCAGGTCTTCCAGCCTTGCTCTTGCTTCTGAAAATTGGCTCTCAGTTGTGCCCAGGCTCTGTTTACATGTGGGAATTTAAGCTTTCGTGAGAAAACTCTGGTAAGTCTTCAACTTAGCAATTGTCTGTATCTTCTTTCTTGTCTGGTAAGTTGCTTAGCCTTGCCCTCAGCAGTTAATGCTTATGGTAGTACTTGTGCTAGACTTTAATACTGTTTTAATAAAACAGCCTTGTAACTATTCGTGATTTTTAAAATCAGTGTGTTTGTTTGGTCTTGATGGTCCTGTTCCCATTCCAGCGAGCCATGTCCTCCAACCGATGAGCGATTGGTTGCAGGGTAAGACCGACACTTCTCCACCACCTTTCTGTCTTGATTCCTGCTGCCTTCTCTTGTAATTGTGCTTAACTCCTGATTGCCCTCAGTGTTGAAGAATGACTAACGAGGCACACAGGCTCTGGCTCGGTCCTCACTGCCCGATCCCCCCACGAGTGCCCCGGCTTCCCACGGCCCCTGCCCTTTCTCCACCTGGAGTTACTCAGCTATTCCACATTACCTGGGAGGCCAAGGCAAGGTTGGCTGACGCCAGGGGGACTTCTGGAGCCAGGCGTGCACACAGACCGCCCCTCCTCCAGGCAGGCACCGGTGGCCTCAGGAAGGTGGTAGGCAAGCGAGAACAGGGCTCCCTGTCTCCCTAGCCAGCTTCCCCCTAGAGAGACCCTTGATCGTTGCTTCTTGCCTTCATTTCTCAGAGGAGTTATAGGAGGCCTCTCCCAAGGGCCAGGTGTTAAATGTGAGGCTTGGACTTAGATGCCGTTGTGTGTGGCCATTAGAGGCAAAAATGTTCCCATGGAGATTATATGGCACTTCTCCAGAAGGGTGTGGATACTGTGATACCCTTTGTGCCCCTGATGGGGCAACCCCCCCGGGTGTTGGAGGTGCTTGGAGCATCTGTGAGCCTCCCCCCCCGCAAAAAAACAGGAGGGAGTGGAGTGGAGTTCCCTTCCATTGCTGTCTCTTCCTCCTTTTTTTTTTTCCTGGCCAAGCCCTAGAAAAAGCCCGTTCCTGAATAACCCAGCAGGAATGGAAAGTCTTGCCTGTTTTTCAACTGGGCTGGTTCATCTCAAATGCTTTTATTTTTTTTAAATTTGAAAGTTATTCCAGGAATATTAGTTTTTATAACAGCTATTTTATTGTGTTGCAACATATTTACTAGGCCTTTTATCTTCAAAACAAGGGAAAAGGATTTTTGTAAATTTTGGAAATAAATATTGTCCCTCGTTTTTGTTTTACTTTGCTGTTTATATCAGTTATGTCCCCTTCCCCCAAATCTCATGATAGAACTCTGTGACTTTGTGTGTCTGATGTCAGCAGACACAGTACAGAAAGTATAAGCCACTCAAGTATTTTTTTACCATAAGTGTGTAATACCAGGCTACAGTGAGTGGATTTCTGTGTGGGTCAGACTGCTCATAGAGCAGAGCAGCTGAACACCACCCCGCGGGCCACCCCAGAGAGGCCTCCCTGATGGCCACCTAGGGCAGTGTGGCTTTTAACGTCAGCAGTACATGGCTCTCAAGCTGGCCCCCTCTGCTCTGTCCTTTCTGGACCCAGAGGGGGAAGTGTTTTTTATTTGGCTCTTGGAAGGGTACCTCTTGGATCTGGGTATTTATAAACGTGAACTGGGCCACTACTGTTGGCCTCTGAATCTCAGGGCTCATCTCACAGCCAAACTTAGGTTCCTGGACTGGTGGCTAAAGGCCGTGGCTGAGGCCCGTCTATGGCTCTTCATGGCGGAGCAGAGGTTTTTAGTGGAGATTTTTCATATCACAAGAAAAAGTGAACCTCTGGAATGGTAGGAAGTTGTTTTTCTCTCCGTCATCTTTGTATCCCTTGTATCACTGGGTGACAGAGTGGAGAGGTCGTGTTTGTTGAGATAGGGTATGGAATGTTGGCACTGGATCAGTTACTAGAGCAGAAGTGTTTAGTAGGGTTTTATCATCCTGAGCCTGCCCTCACCATCACTGTATCCCTCAGATGGGAGTTACAGGGTGGGGTGAGCCATTTAGAGTTTTTGAAGAAAGCATGTAAAGCCTCCTGTCTAAGACTCTGGAATCTTCCATCTCTGGTTTATTCACTCTAGAGAGCAGTATTCCTGGGAAGGAGTGACCCACACTGGGCAGCCAAGGGCTTGAGCTGTGGGTCCCGAGTTTCCCAGAATGTCTCTGACAACATTGGTATCAGAAGGTCCAGCTGCATTCCTGACTATACAGGACGCAAGGCAGCCCGTTTTGACCCAGACCCCTGTATCTGGTTTGTTTGGGGACCACAGAGTGACCAAGGACACCGAGATGACCATGTTGGTCCTAGGGGACAGCTGGAAGCCAGCATGACCAGCCCCCCTTGGCAGTGCTAGGCTCCCCGGCTGTCTAGCGGAGAGGCTTGGGAAGAGTCCCATAGCTGCCTGTCTTGCTTTTGTCCGTATGCTGGTTGACCACAGTGAGGTTCTTGCTCCAGGCTGGTTCTAAGTTACCTCTCTTACATTAGACATTGAGCCCTGCCAAGTGTAAGGGGCCCAGAGCCACGACCCCCTCCTAGATCACTTAATGTCCAAGTCATTTGCTATTTCAGAGTTGAACTGAAGCCGCAGTCTGCAGCAGGACCTTCCCTTTTGGAGTGTTAGGGTGTTCATTGCCGCCCTCCCCCACAGCCAGCTCCTTTAGAAGAGAAACATCTGGTGTGGTCCCTGATTCACCGGAGCTCCTCAGTGAAGGCCCAGGATGCACCTTGGAGTGTCTGTCCTCATTGGCCTCTTTGGACAGAGCGTGGCCTTGAAGGAGCTGGAGCCACCTTCCCCCACACAGTGTGCCCTTCGACCTGGGTGTTAGAGATGCTTTCCCAGGTGGAGAAATGAGCACAGGACTTGTCTCCTCCTGGCTCCTGATCCGACACAGCACATCAGTGTTTCTAGAGTGGAGGCCCCTGGAGCCTGGGCTCCGAGATAAGAGTCCACACTGCACCCCCGGCCCTCTCCTCCCTGTGGTGACTCTCGCTTATCTGGATCCCCTTGGGCAGGAAGGAGCAGGGTTGCTAGTGGGGAGACATAAGTGCACAGCTGCATCTTGAATGGGGGTGAGCTCTACAGTTTTACAGAGATCGTAGCCAGATCTGCTGTCCCACCACAGCCATGCCTGCTTTTCCATGGCATCCAGTCCTGTGCATCCCCACCTTTGTATCATGTCTCTGGTTCTGCACATTTTGCACATCTTAAAGGTTTCCCCAGTAAGAACTAGAAGGTTGAAATGTTGAGCGTAAGGGAACGACCGGGCAGCCGTGCCATGAGGAAGGTGATGAGCACACTGTAGTTAGTATTGTCCTTTACTCACCTGGGGGTGGAGCGGTGCAGCCTGGCAAACCCAGGCCGTCAGGAGACCCCTCCCCACACCTGTGCGCCTTAACGAGTGGCCCTCAGGACGGTGCCGGCTCCAGCTGTTGTCCTCCCTTTGAAAGCAAACTGCAATTCGTTCTCTCTCCTGAATTTCATAGAGCATGCCGAGAAATGACAGCATGTGCCTTCAGTCTATGCTTCTCATGCCTTTTACCTTGTAATTCTGGTGATTTTATGTCCCCAGTCTTGGGGATCGCTTCAGAAGGGCAATTGATAGAAGCTTCCAGATCCGCAGTGGGGTAGAGCACTCCACGCACGGAGCTGCCATGTCCTGAGACCTTTCCCCTCTGAGGGCAGGTGGGCATGGTACTGTGGCACTTTGTTTACTTACTTCCACTCTGCCTTTTTTTAATTTTAAGGTTTTCGGATGTCATTCTGGCAACAATTTTGGCAACCAAGTCTGAAATGTGTGGCCAAAAATTTGAACTGAAGATTGATAACGTGCGGTTTGTTGGGCACCCGACACTGCTGCAGCATGCTCTGGGGCAGGTATGGCCCTCCCTGGGCAGGTGGGGCTCTCCCTGGGGCAGATGAAGTTCTTCCTGGGACAGGTGAGGTTCTTCCTGGGCAGGTGGGGCTCTCCCTGGGGCGGGTGAGGTTCTTCCTGGGCAGGTGAGGTTCTTCTTGGGACAGGTGATGTTCTCCCTGGGCAGGTGAGGTTCTTTCTGGGCAGGTGAGGTTCTTCCTGGGCAGGTGAGGTTCTCCCTGGGGCAGGCGAGGTTCTTCCTGGGCAGGTGAGGTTCTCCCTGGGGCAGGTAAGGTTCTCCCTGGGCAGGTGAGGTTCTTCCTGGGACAGGTGAGGTTCTTCTTGGGACAGGTGAGGTTCTCCCTGAGGCAGGTGAGGTTCTCCCTGGGACAGGTGAGGTTCTCCCTGGGCAGGTGAGGTTCTTCCTGGGCAGGTAGGGCTCTCCCTGAGCAGGTGAGGTTCTCCCTGGGGCAGGTGAGTTCTCCCTGGGCAGGTGGGGCTCTCCCTGAGCACCTGAGGTTCTCCCTGGGTCAGGTGAGGTTCTCCCTGGGGCAGGTGGGTTTCTCCCTGGGGCAGGTGGGCTTCTCCCCGGGTAGCTGGAGCTCTCCCTGAGCAGGTAGAGCTCTCCCTGGGACAGGTGAGGTTCTCCCTGGGACAGGTGAGGTTCTCCCTGGGCAGGTGGGGCTCTCCCTGGGGCAGGTGAGGTTCTCCCTGGGACAGGTGGGGTTCTCCCTGGGACAGGTGAGGTTC